CGCTGTGAATCGCAATGACAAAAATGGATATAATACGAACGAGAACAGTTATGCTTCATTTATTGAAGTGGTTGAAAAAAAAGGCAAAGCTATAACAGATTATGCCCGTTTGTTAAGTCAGTGCCTCTATAAAATGAGCATGTTTCTCTTTCCCGAACATCTTATTTTACAGATATTCTAACGACTGGGCTGAGGCAGATGACATGTTAGTCGTTGAGTTCCTAGTTGAAGTGGTGAGCTGTAGAATTGATGTGGACTGCTACACGATATCTGAGGCCGATAATCAGGGATTGATTCCATACGGAAATTATACTGACCCACTCAGTATGTTCTTCAGCATCAACTTTCCTAACAGACAACATGCACGAGCATTGTCTCCGGTAAGCACACAATCATCATATCTTCAGCTGATATAGTAAAATTTGAGGAAACATTAAACGTTTACTAACACAAAACTTGAGAAAAGAGTCAATACTGTATACCAGATTTTTTTTGCAAAGTCAAACTTTCATTCTTTGCCGGTAACCCTTCAAAATAATCTCTATATCTAACATGTTGTTTACAATGTACTTATGTTCGCTGTGATGATTAACCCGCCTTCATCAAAGTGGACGAAAAAGGCGAAAATTTAACTGCAGCGAAAATTTCCCCAGTATACAATAATAATTTGTGCGACTCTTTAAACGATTAACGTGTATCGAACAAACATAGCGAAAACGTCAAGTTTTGCTTTTCCTGGTTAAAGTCATAATTTGCACGAAGTTGACTAGCTTTAAATAGATAATTCGCTACCTCTGCTTTATTTCCCGACAACTATTGTTAAACTTTCAATAAATACTTGTTATTGTTTGATTTTCCGTGACCTTTTTCTTTAGGTACTTAACCTAGCGTTTAGCAAAATAACTTCATATTAACCGTTATGACTTAGAAAGGAAATTGAATTTTCAAGAAAAATGCAAGAAAATAGAATTAATGTTGTGAGAGGAGTCCGTCACGTGAACACGTATATTGATCGATTGTCTGATAACAACATGAGGTTTCTCTTGGAGCTTCGCTTACTTGTTCATTGAATCAGCTTCCATCAGGGCTTAATCGTTATAAATATAGGCTGAAAATAACTGGTTAAGTGATTATATATGGTGTTTCATTAAATGCTGAAATGACCTTGTTTTTGATTTTTCAATTTTTAGCTTTTACACGTACTTAAATGTTTGTGTATGCGATGATATATTGGTTTTATATCTAATCTGAAAGCAACGTAGGTCATTGTTGTGAACGAAGAATTGGATGAAAGTGATATGACGGTATCCTTTAGTTCTCTGAAAACGTTATTAGCTCACCTTGGTCCTTCGGACCAAGGTGAGCTTATGCCATACCGTGGCGTCGGTCGTCCGTCAGTTCGTCAACAATTTCTTTAAACGACTTCTTCTTCGTAACCATTGATTGGAATTTAATTAAAATTTGACTGGAAGCATCTCTAGGTGGTGATGATTCAAAAATATGCAAATGGTGGGGCTGACCCCCCAGGAGACTGAGGGGCGGGGCCAAAAGGGAGTAATTTGGCTATATTGCTTTAAGCGACTTCTTCTCTGGAACTAAGAGATGGATATCAGCCATATTTGACTGGAAGCATCCCTAGGTGGTGGTGATTCAAAATTGTACAAATGGCGGGCTGACCCCCCAGGGGGCTGAGGGTGTGGCCAAAAGGGGGCAAATCGGCTATATTGCTATAATGACTTCTTCTGTAGAACCATGCCATGGATATCGATCATATTTGGTCGGAAGCATTCATGGTAGGCAGGTTTTAAAAATTGTACAAATGGTCGTGCTGACCCCCCGGGCTAAGGGGTGGGGCAAAAGAAAATGTATTTCTTGGAAATGGTTGAGGTCCCCACCGTATAACCATATATACAATTGCTGAGCATAAAGAGAAGATTGCACATTTGCTTCCAGGATGGTTCTAGGGTCTGGACCCACCTTTGTAGTCATAGTTCCTGGGTCATAACTTTGAAACGGTTGAGATCCCCACCCCAGAACTATATATACAAATGCTGGGCATAAAGAGACGAATGAAGTCATGATCTTAGAATAGACCCTTGGGTCTGACCGAACCCCTAGAAACCTAGTTTCTTAGTCACAGCTTGGAAACAGTTGAGATCCCCAACCTATAACCATATATCCAATTGCTGAGTATAAAGAGATGAATGCGCATATGTTTCCAGCATGGCCTTGGGGTCTGTCTCACCCTTGGAGACTTAACCCCTGGGTCATAACTTTGAAATGGTTAAGATCCCCACCCCAAAACTATATATACAATTGTTGGGCATAAATAGACGAATGTAGTCATGTATTAGAATTGAGTCTAGGGTCTGCCCCACCCTTGCAGACTTAACCTCTAGGTCATAACTTTGAAACAGTTGAGATCCCCACCCAAAAACTTTAAATCCAAATACTGGGCAAAAAGAGACGAATGCAGTTATGATATTATAATTGATACTGCGGTCTGGCAACAACCCTAGGGACCCAGTTTCTGAGTCACAGCTTGGAAACAGTTGAGTCCCCACCCCATAACCATATATAAAATTGCTAGGCATGAAAAATCTAATACAGATATGCTACAAGGATTAAATTGGCATTGGGGTCTGGCATATTCCCTTGGATCTCATTTGGAGAATATTTTGTCATGATTGCTAAGATATCCAGGTGAGCGATACAGGCCCTCTGGGCCTCTTGTATATTTTCATTTATTTTTATATCTTTTATGATGCATAAGACAGACCAATCGATAAAAATGTTTCTACAGGACAATATTTATGTTTATATTTTTCAAGTGCTATGTAACTATCAAAGTGCCATCCAGCCACCTGTTTCGCCGACCGACATTTCTCATCACACATAGTGGTAACTCTGGTGATTGGCGACAACATACCGCCCAACAGGCCATGGCATGGGAAGGGGAGGTAACTACAATAAAATGAAGACAGTATCTATAATCACCATACAACCGTTTATAAAACTGATACAATATAGTTTCCTTAGTTACAAGTTGCTTTACCAGAGATATTTTACTCAATTATAGACAAAACAACAACAAAACCAAGAAAAAATAAACAAAACTATAAATAATCTGCAACACTCAGTTATCATCTTTAATTTAATTTTATAGTTCTAGTTAAACTGCTCCAACGGGTTCCGTCAACTTTTATTGTTTCCGTGTATGGTACATAAAAAAATGATAATACAGAATCAATTGACTTGTGAGCTTTCCATCTCAGCTTCTATTTTCTTCTTTTCAATGAAAAATAATGCAAACGTCCTTACATTTGAGTCCCTAATACTTCTAAAACATTTATGTATGTTAACACATTTAGATGGTAATGCTTTGTTCCAGGTATATCTATCCGCTTCCATTCCTTATTGTCCACGGTACATTCTGGCTGTAGCATCCGACCTTTGGCCTGGTATTGCACCTGCCATCCAACAAAACAATGCTTTTGAACATGTTCTTTCTAAAACCGAAGATGTATTTTATCTCCCAGGATTGCACAAGAAAATAGTACTCATGTTTCCGGAGGAGTCTGTCTCAGTGAACACCGTCATCCAGATATTGGTAATGTAACGTTAATTGCATATGATTGCATTAATGAACATTGATAAAACTCATATAGTCATATATATTTTGAAAACGATTTTGCTAGGCTTTATTTACAGTTTTCATAAAAATTGTAATTTTGTTTTGTTATTAAAGCAATCAAATTACTTAAATGAACATTTTGTTAAAGAACTTATTTCTTATCTGACCTTTCAATCATTGCAATAATTAAAATTTGTGTGGACCTTTTTACACCTTAAGATTAAACGTCATCATGAAATCTATGGGAATTAATCACTTGAGAAGAAATTGTGAAAGCGTATTGTATATTTCTAAACATTTTCTTTAGGTTGGTAAGTATGGATTATGAATGATTCTTTTTACACAACTAATAAGAGTTTCTATGTGACGTTTGCATGACTAGTACGGTATGTACACTGACACCTTCTTCAGACAAATGGCCAGTGAAGCGTATAAAATGTGNATTTCGATTCGGCTACGCTGTAAGCGTATGTACAATAGTTGTTATATATGCACCGAAATTACTCGATTCAGATACGCATTGTTTAATACGTATTGTATTGTATCTGTTATATTGAAAAGAACATAAACTTATGCAAACCTAAGTGAATAGTTGCTACTCTTTTCGTTAAAAGTTTTGCATCAGCACTGAAATGATCGTTTTTTTAAATCATAAAGAGTAACTGAAAATGCATACTGGCATACAAGTTGTGCCGTCGATATACCTCTACTGGCTCTTCCGTATTAGAATGAAAAAACTAATAATACAAGAAGTAAAGATTTAGCTCTTGTTTCCTCCATATAAAGATCCCCCGCTTGCAAGCATGCGGATCAACAAGAGTAATTAATATAAGTTAAAATAACTTGTTTTACAATTCCTGTAAAATATAAATGTTTATACTTAAAGTACTGTTTTTAGGACAGGTTTTGTAACTTCATTTCGCTGTAATCCGTTTCTTTTGACGCATAGTTATTGCTCTTCCACATACGAAAACAACGTTGACTTCAATTGCGATACATTTAGTAAAACCCATTTTGATGAGTGATGTTTTGATGGAAATTATAATCGTGTTGGTGCCAGGATTCCCGAATATCTCCCTGATCAGAATAGCATGTCCATCCGTTAAATAATCCACGGTGTTATATACTGTTCTTGCTGTAGATTAGTTCACTTGCACCCTCAAAACGGAATAAATGTATACAGAGACATTATAAAGGTAATAT